TGAATAGGATAAAGAAGAGACACAGGAAACATGGTCACGTGGCATTTGGGCATAAGGAGAGAGAAAGGTACCTGGATAAAGGAGGGAGGCTTGGCTTTTCTCACACAGGCAGACCCCTGACCCCAGGAGGGTCCACTTACTGGCACCAAAAGCAGGGTGTCCGAGCCCTGAAGGGTCTTTTAGAAAGGAAAGGCCAGCTCTGCAAGCATCACAGGAGCCTGGAAACAGGGTCTCTGAGCACGACATGGAGCTTCCATACTGGCAGACAACTTTGGGTGATCTTACACAAATATGGCTTTCTCTAAGCCTCATTTTCTGAAAGGAAATAATGCTGTCACAATTACCCTCACCTGCCACCCACAGAGATGATCCTAACCAACATGACGGTGAAGTACACCTAACCACGTGTATTTTATTTAATATGATTATATTACCACAATAAACAGTAATGTAATTTTGTGCAAATATCTGATGTTAATATACCCTGCTCCTTATTAGATTTTCAAAGGCAACCGCTATAAAATCTTAACAGTGGACAGTGGTCTCCAACCAAAGGCAGTAAACAACCCAGACGCAATATAAGAGAGGAAAGCAGAAAATTTCACTAGTCGTAACTTCTTTCATGCTTGTTTTCCTTAGCTCTCTGATTTTGCTTTCCTGCTGCATATACTCTTGGGTCCTTTTAAGCCCAAACTACAAATAGTTCATGAAAATCAGTATCTGTGCTCAATGAATACATTGTAAGAAAGGCTGCATGTGTTTCTATATATATCACTAGGGTAAAGCTATGAATAGAAAGCATCATTTAATTTGCTGCAGTTTAGAATAATAATAAAAGCTTACCTTTGCTGCATTAGAATAATACAAATGATTATTTGGAGGGTGGAGCAATATATAACAAGGAGAACAGGGAAAGTAGCCCACTCCTGATAAGAAGATGAGATCAACTCACCTAATTATTAAACATGTCAAGTATTTTCACTAAAAAGTTTTGAAAATAAGTTTAAACTCAGTAAAAGCAGCATTTAAATTAGTATTTTAATAATAATTTTTCCCTACAGTGAAACAAGTCTGCTCAACAAATGAGAGTTCAGCCCATCTCCAAATCATAAGCTAGACTATCTGAACACAGGTCTTATGTATGCACCATTCCACAGCATCTGTAACCATGATTTTAATACTCATTTTCATAGATAAAGAAAGTTAGAAATTGAGGGGTAATGATGATAAGAATACTAAAATTTCCATGTCGATTAGTTACACAAAGGAAATCAGGACTACTTGCGAATAGCCATACTAATTATATTTTCTAATTCTAGAAAAAGAAACAGGAAGTTTTAAATCAACAATCATGTCAAAGATCCCAAATTGACACCTTTTAAACCAAAAGCCATAAAAGAACTGTCAGATGTGTCCAAATATTCAAAACTTGAAACCTTGCATGGGCAAGAGATACCATAAAAAGGTAAATAAACCAATGTTAGACATGAAAAAAGAAATAAAAATGAAATAGGGATCATTCTTGTAACAGTCACCAGACTTTTTGCACATTCTAGGAAAAAAGGAGGTTAATGGAAAAAATGGACAAATAGACAAAAGACAGGACTAGCTAATGGAGAGAAGAGCCAAATCTAAGTAGTCAACAAGCATAGGAAAATGTTCTCAAATTTACCAGGATTCATGGAAATGCTAGTAAATGCAACGGTCAGCAGTAATACAGCTATCAAAAAAAGAACAGCAATTCCTACTGCTGGTAGAAATGCAAGGAAAAGGAATTCTCCCAGGGACTTCCCTGGCTAAGACTTCATGCTCCCAACGCAGGGGGGCAGAGTTCAATCCCTGATCAGGGAACTAAGTTCTCACAAGGATGGTAACTCTCAGAGGGGACTTTCATAATAAATAAGTGCTATGTATTCAGAAATAAAGATTCAGCAGTAAAAACAGATTTGTTTCTATAAACTGAACTAGAAAGCCAAGAAAAAAGCATAGCCTATCTACTGTTTTCAATTTGTAACAGGACTTCAGTTTGTAATAACAAAAACATTTTGGAAAGGGTCATCTGTGCGTGGAAAAAATTTAAGCGTTCAAAGGATTATTTTGATAAAAGATCTCCCAACCACTGAACACCCCATTCCTCTATCCCATGACACCAGTGCCCCAATTTTTCTTTGCTACTTCCAATTTTGCATATGAGCTTGCATGAGCATATAATTATATATTTACATATAATTTTGGTAACATTATTTATGATCTTTTGTAGGTGCCTATTCAAGACTAACTGTAGTCCCCTCACAATTTTTGGCTAATATAATCTTTGATGGACACCTCTTTTGAAGACCAGCTTGTTTGGATTAACTCCTTCTGATGCAAAACATCTGTTTCATCATTTTCTTTCTTTCCCTCTCCTTTTCTGATTGCTTTTCAGCAAGTTTTGGCAGTGCGCTAAAGCTGCTGGTTGACGAGCTGAAGCAAATCCCTTTGAGTTTCTCCCTGAGTTGAGAGCCGTCCCTGAGTTATTTACTTGCCACTAAATCCTACAGTCTTGTTTATTCAATCCCTCCAAATCCCACTCTTCAAGTGGAAGACTGGGAATGGCCTTAAAACCAAGGCATTAAGAAGCTTGAGTTATTGATATACCCACTGTTACAGAGTGTAATAACGACTGGGACAGTAGCTAACTCATTTGCTAGTTTCCTAGATGAAATACCTCGTGTTCTCAGATTCTTCCTACACTTGCTCTGCAATGTCATAGTAAACTCCACTTCCTCTTGGCCTTATTTCTTCTCTGTTCAGCAAGAACTCTAGCTTCTATTACTGAGAGTACTCTCACAAAACCAATGTAACTTTCCTCCACTTCTTCCACTAAATGAATCTGAGCTCAAGCTTGCAATTTATCTTTCTTCCTCTATGTCTGGTGAAGCCCTGTAGAACTATGTCACCTGATTGCAGACTGCCATTATAGGTTCCTGGTTTCCAGACCAAATCTTTAATGCTGCTCATCAACCCTCTTATATACAGTATTACTGGGGATAATACTAATATTATTGAGGATACTGGTTGGCTGGATGTCACAGAACACCTGAATAACCACGGAAGATACAAGAAAGTCTGCCTCTCTTTCACAGAGGAATCCAAAACAGGGGGTCCCAGGCTAGGATGGTGTCTCTGCTCCTTGAGGCCATCCAAGGATACACACACAAGGCCAGTTCTCCAGATTTAAAGGATAAACAAACTCAACCTCTCAGTGGGAGGAACGGTGAAGCCACGTTACAAAAGTTACACATACATGGAGGGGTAAAACAAAGTTGGGGACAAACTGCAATAAACCTACCCCAAATAAGTAAAAACCTTACTGTTTTTTATAATATATATTAAGTTCCTTTCCTTTAATTCAGCTCTTACTGACCTATTACTTTCTCATTTCCTCATCCTCTTATTTCACTTGAAGAAGGATAAGCTGCTTTTTTTTTTTAACTACAGACGTTAACTTATACTATAGGGATTCATAAAAGGTCCCAGCTCCACAAGTAAGAAAACAAGCTAACAGTGGATAACAAATATAAATGAATTCCTCTGCATCTGGTGTAGAGCAACTGAAGAAGAGAATTAGTGAATCAGACAATGCAAAGGTCAATAATGACTTTAATGAGTAATTCTGGTAAAAGCGTTTCTGCACAGTTATGCAGGTATAAAAACAGATATAAAAAGTTAACAAAAAGATTCCTTCTCTGCTTAAGGACATCTTAGAACAACCATGACTAAATTTAACTTGATATATATTTCAGAGCTTAAAACTCAAGAGACTGTAACAACTTTCTGCACAGCTTAACTTGAAGCACATGCACTTATTATTCTAACACTGGAAATACTTTCTTGACATTTGATTTGGTACTCTTATTGGTAAGCTTTGCCTTTTAAAAGTTTTATTAGGAGAAAATACAAGAAAAAAGTATCTATTCGGATTGCCCACCACTCTCTGAACATTATCTAGGAATAATACGATCTTAAAATAGCTCAATTTTGAAAATCACTGACAAAAATGCTGGAGTGTTATTTTAGGGATCTCTTTTTAAAAAAGAAATAAATATAAAAAAGTAGTTTTGTTCTGACACTGGTAAGAGGACATATGTTTGTACTGTTCACAAATTCAGTAAACAAGAGTTGCCTGCTTTAAGAGAACACTGAGAGAAGCAGAGAGGCCGACTCCAGGAGGCGCACTCATTCCAGGGTTTTACCTGGGTTTTACCAGTGCATCTCTGAGAAGAGGTGCACATCCTACTCTCTCAGATATTTAATAATGATCCCTTTCTTTACACATAAAAAATAAGCTTACCTCTTTGACAGCTCCAGTCTTAACTGGAAAGAAAAGGTTATTACGAGAACCCAATTCTAGGTGCCTCAACTACATTTTATCAACACAAATAGCTCTCAGTGTTTCTTAAGAGAAGGGTTATTGGCACTGAGTATAAGATAATTCTAAACTGTGGGGGGACCATTCAAGACACTTAGCATTCCTGGTCCACTCACTAAAAACCAGCAAGTTTTCAAGGTCACTGTTACAAGACATATCCATCCATTTCCAACCAGATGGATGGTTGGCCTTAGAGTGTCAATGGACTGCCCCTTGATGAGAACCACTGAGTTAGATGATCCAAGATTAATATCTATTAACTTCATGACTTCCACAGAAAGCAACTGCTGCATTACCTTCAGTAACAATGACTGAAGAAAAACACTTAAAAACAAACAAATAAACAAAAAACCTTGCATTTAAATACTATTTTGGAAAGATAGGCTGATTTCTTCAAATCCATGGTGATCTGAAAGGACTAGATGCAAAATGTGCAATGCTTATTTGTCCCCAAATGCACACATACATTCACAGGAAAATGACTGTTCACCATCTGCTGGCATGTCTTACCCCATTTATCTTTAGTATAAAAATACGTCCGTCCACTACAATAAGATAAAAAACGTGTAGATCTTCTTAATAAATTCCCTCACACTGATGTTCCTGGAAACTGCTGTTGTCTTTGCTCCAAAACTTGCTGATTTAATAGCTGCTGCTGTTTCTGTAAAAACTGTACCACTTCTGGACTTCTTAGTAATGACTTAAAAAGGAGAAAGAGAAAATGTTTATTAATAGCAGTATTCTTATGAGATTGTATTCATGCTATAAAATTACTCTGCTATATCCTTATACCCGATACAATATACTTACAAAAAAAAAAATTCCTGAACTGAATTCATTTCTTCATCTGATGAGCTGCAATTAAACTTCAAACTAATAATAATAAAATCTGGTATCATGCATCAAATACTAAAATCTAAAACTCACTGGGGAGGCCTGACTTTATTGGTGACTTTGCACACAAAGGAAATGCTTTTATGATAGGCCAGCATGTATGCTCTTTATGAAACGTAAGGGCCAAGAAGAGCGCTGGCCCAAGATTACAGCAAGGAAAAAAAAAAAGGAAATGAAAAGACCCCATGTAAACATGGCAGTTAAATTCCAGGTTAGAAACATATACATTTTTAGCTCAATTCCAGAAAAATAAATGACCCAATCAAAAAATGAGCCAAAGAACTAAACAGACATTTCTCCAAAGAAGACATATAGATGGCTAACAAACACATGAAAAGATGCTCAACATCACTCATTATCAGAGAAATGCAAATCAAAACCATAATGAGGTACCATTACATGCCAGTCAGAATGGCTGCTATCCAAAAGTCTACAAGTAATAAATGCTGGAGAGGGTGTGGAGAAAAGGGAACCCTCTTACACTGTTGGTGGGAATGCAAACTAGTACAGCCACTATGGAGAACAGTGTGGAGATTCCTTAAAAAACTGGAAATAGAACTGCCATATGACCCAGCAATCCCACTCCTGGGCATACACACCGAGGAAACCAGATCTGAAAGAGACACGTGTACCCCAGTGTTCATCGCAGCACTGTTTATAATAGCCAGGACATGGAAGCAACCTAGATGTCCATCAGCAGACGAATGGATAAGGAAGCTATGGTACATATACACAATGGGATACTACTCGCCATTAAAAAGAATACATTTGAATCAGTTATAATGAGATGGATGAAACTGGAGCCCATTATACAGAGTGAAGTAAGCCAGAAAGATAAAGACCAATACAGTATATTAACACATATATATGGAATTTTAAAAGATGGTAACGATAACCCTATATGCAAAACAGAAAAAGAGACACAGATGTACAGAACAGACTTTTAGACTCTGTGGGAGAAGGCGAGGGTGGGATGTTCTGAGAGAATAGCATTGAAACAAGTATACTATCAAGGGTGAAACAGATCACCAGCCCAGGTTGGATGCATGAGACAAGTGCTCGGGGCTGGTGCACTGGGAAGACCCAGAGGGATGGGATGGGGAGGGAGGTGGGAGGGGGATTCAGGATGGGGAACACATGTAAATCCATGGCTGATTCATGTCAATGTATAGCAAAAACCACTACAATATTGTAAAGTAATTAGCCCCCAACTAATAAAAATAAATGAAGTAAAAAAAGAAAGAAACATATACATTTTTGACAAGTACTGGAACTCAAGTTCCTCGCACTAGCTTACTAAGTCTTTTGGAAGAAATTAAAAATGATGTATGTCTGTGTGCATAGGTATGTGTGTGTAAATATAGGTATACATATATAATAAAAGTAGTATTAGCATACTACCAAAACTTCAGAAAAGAAATACAACTGCTCTAAAACAACTAATAAGTTTTAAACACTGACCATTTTTAAATAGTTATACTCACATGACAAATGTAAGACTAATATGTTTTTATTAAAATATTTATATAAATTTATAAGGAAGAAAAACCTTGAGCCTAATATACTGAACAAGATAAACCAAATAAGATGGAAATACTATCATTAAACACTGATTTTAAAATTTAACATTATAGCATAGTGTATTTCCTATTTATTAAATGCTTTTGTTTAAAATTTGTAAATACTGCCCAACCTTTATTTAGTAAATGTATAACAGTCTACTCAGCTGTTATGAGGCTGCTGAACAATTAAGTTTTTTAAATTACTATTTTACTATCTGTGATAAATACTTTTCTGGCAGTGTCCTTACACTTAACTTTATCTATATTTAAGATTCATTTCCTGTGCATGTCTTCACAGTAAAATGATCTCTGAGTGAAGGAATGACCATTTTAAGGACTCTTAATACAGACTGCCCAACTGCTTTCTTTAATTAATATTATAATAATTATTATATTAGTGTTGTACTAATTTAAGATGCCATCAGAATGAGAGTCCCTTTCACGGAGTCCTCAACATCACTGTGTGTTATCATTTAAACAATTTTCACTTATTGAACTGTTTATTATGTGATTTTTACTGATATGAAACACATTTCCGGATCATGTAAGGGAAGCACTTCTGCTTTTTTCTGTTTATATTTTTTTTGCAATGTATTGAGGGCAAAATTTTTCTTCATCAATCTGTATGACAAAAATATCAACCATATCAACCATTGTCTTTTATATATGTGTTGCAACTCTTTTTCCTGTTATTTTCAAGTTTGCATTTTTATTTTTATGCTGCCATTTTTTACTACAGTATTCATTTTTATGCAGCTAAATTATATTTTCTCTGTAATTTTGTCTTTATGAGATTCCAATGTATACTGGCAGAGGCACAGTTCTATTCTGGACCAATTTATCACAGTATCACAGTTATAAACTGACAACCAGTTTAAAACCACAATTTTAAACTGATAACCAGTTTAAAAATCTCAAAAGTTGAACAGTTCCATTTATAACAAACAAATGTGTTAGGTTTGGAACTACTGTACAAACAGATATTTACCAGTCTTTTTTGATTTAACACTTGTTCTAAAAGAGTAGGTCTTGCAGGTCGATCTCCAAAAGATCCCGTTTTTTGTTTTACAATGGAGAGTATGTTGTCTGCACTTTCCTGGGATAAAAGATAAAATGCAAATAGGATTAAGTGTTGGTATAATAGTCCATGATTACAGGCATTTCAATGATGCTTTTCTTCTCTTCCTTCTTGCCCAGATCCTGGGAGCCTTTGGGAAAGTCCCTCTTTAAGTCCCTAGGCAAAGTGTTGACAGTTATTTTATATAACAAGCCTCACTCCCTCACCCTCCGGGATTTCCAACCTGGGACCTTCAGTCTCCAGAAGTTCTCAACAATCAACAGAGGGGCAGGGGTGGAGGAAGGGGACCTATTTTAATAGCTGTGAGCGATTTTCAATGCCAAGTGGAAAGGGAACACTGTCTTCAGATAAAGCTATCCAGGTCAAACCGTCTTACTGCCTTTGGATGGATTATGTGAACTCAAAGGCCATTTATATAGTGCTAACTAAACATTCTTCACTGCTTTTTTTGCCCAACAAAACAATAAACAAATTAACACCAACCAAAAATTGGGGTGGGCAGTAAAATATTACTTAAAGAAAAACAATTGATACACAAAGATTTCAAAATTTGGAAGTCACCAGGAGAAAAATGACAAACTGGCTTTGAAAAGACTGGCAAGCACTGGAGTAAGTAAGCTCCTGCCACTGGTATAGACAAAACAGGTAAAGTCCTCCTGAAATCACACCATATCCTGAGGCATCCTTACTCAAAATCAGCAGCACTTACTACCAACTATGTTCCCCCAGTTGCCTGGTAGGATCTTAAATACTTACAATCTTCCTGGCCAACAAAAATGTTAAGTTTACTGAAACATTCTGACTCTTATAAAATGATGACCACATCCAAAAATTCTGACAAATATAAAGTCACATAAGCCATGATTTGTATAAATTTACTCTTATTCTACTCTTCATCTAAAGATTATTTAGATGTTGAGCTGTTTTTTTTCTCTTGAGCTTTTTTTTTCTTTTTTAACATTTCCAATTTTATTTTTGGCCATGCCATGTGGGATCTTAGTTCCCCAGCCAGGGATCAAATCTATGCTCCCTGCACTGGGAGTGCAGAGTCTTAACCACTGCACCACCAAGGAAGTCCTTTGACTTTCTTTCTACTGGCCTCTAAGTTACCTATTAGAATATTCGCCTTATCTCTTTCACTATGAGAAGTTTATCAATCTAATGTTAAAAAAATATTCAATCCCTAACCATTTAAAGCCTCACCCCCCCCCCCAAAAAAAACCTGTAAAAAGAAGACTCTAATACTCAGAGAAAACAAAAATAACTTCTTTCTCTCTCCCCACAAGATTAACTTCTTATGGGACTGATTCATTCTTATGTGCACTAGATGCTGAAATTGACAGTGGAGGTCCCTTATTCTTACCACCTCACACACATCACTATGCATTAATACATTCAGAATGTTAGTAACACAAAATCACAGAAGCTTGTAGTGAAAATAACCTTCAGTTATCCAGCCCAAACTTCTCCAAGTGTTGGAATTATAGAAACCTTGAACACTTTTTGTTCTAAGGAGTTACCAACTTTTGAAGCTACCCACGCTGAATATTCATTGGAAGGACTGATGCTGAAACTCCAATACTTTGGCCAACTGATGAGAAGAACTGACTCCTTAGAAAAGACCCTGATGCTGGGAAAGACTGAAGGTGGGAGGAGAAGGGAACGACAGAGGATGAGATGGTTGGATGGCATCACCGACTCAACGGACATGAGTTTGAATAAACTCTGGAAGTCGGTGATGAACAGGGAGGCCTGGTGTGCTGCAGTTCATGGGGTCGCAATGGGTCAGACACAACTGAGTGACTGAACTGAACTGATTTGGTTCTGGGTTACTAACATTTAGGTGGCATTTTCTTAGATTGAGATGATACACATAACCCTTGTGACTCACCTGAGTCCTGGTTACTTCAGAACTATGCAAAATAACTCTGCTGCTTCTTCCAAATGACAGCCTTCTTAGACATTTTATGACAATGATCAATCCCACAGGTCACTGCTTTCATCCCTGGCTCCGTTCTGTGTCACTCACACAGCACCATTTTTAGATACATGGACTAAACATTATATACATCTGTTCCTCATTTAACCTTGATTTGTGTCAGGAATACTGATTTTTTTTTTTTTTTTTTTAGGAATACTGATTTTTAAATACCTTAATTTCTAATCTTGCTGTTCATACTATGGCAGCACACCCCATTACCACCTGCCAGTCCTTCTATAGCTATTTCCTAAAAAGTCTCTAAATTGAGAGGCCCTTGATTTTAACCCACACCATTATAATAGGAGCCCTGGTTACTGCCTAACTAGGAACTTGCTTTTGAAGCCTCCAAATTCAAATCCCACTGCCTGGCATTCAGTATCATATAAAAACTGGCTTCAAACTCTTTCCAAATTTATCTTTTGTAAATTTTCCACACAGATACTCCACTTTAGCTAGAAAGGTCCCCTTGCTAGCTCCTGTATTCCCACTTCCCCTTCCTTTACTAAGACGTGCTTCTCTTTCTTTTTACCACCAAAAGTCTAGGGAAACGGGATAGCGTGGGGATAAGACTGAAGGTTCTAGAACCAGACTGCTTGGGTTTGAGTACTTGCTGGCTGCATGATCTGGGCCAAGTTACTTGACCTCTCTTTGCCTCAGATTCCACTTATGGAAAGTAAAGTATCTCTCTCACTGTTGAAGGGGGTGAGACTCCATTTATAGCTGAGCACTGTGCCTGGCATATAAGAAACTTAGCTGATTAAACACAAACTATTAGCCGTTCTTTCTAGCTTATACTGAGTTGTATTTTCTCTGCAAAGCCTTTCTAGAATATCTCAGCCTACAGTGATCTATCCTCTCCACTACTAAAGCAGCACTTATAGTTGGCCCTTATTGTATCCTGACTGTTCCCGTTAGTTCTTTTCTTTACACTCAGTTCAACAAAGACTTAGAGCTCCTGATTTCTCAAACTGACAGTGTCCTTTAAGTAAATGGCTATTATTTGTTTCCCATAGCAATTCTCTTTCCTAAGAAATCATGCAAGTTATTTCAGAATAGGAAAAAATATGTTTCTTTTTGTAGGGGGTGGAGGGAGAGATTCTAATTCAGTTATCTACTTGCCTTTTATGTATTTTCCTCAAACTGTAGGTGTAAATGTGTGACAAAAGAAAAAGAAAGTGGTTACAGTTAAAACATTTCCTTCCTGAAAAGAAGTAGATCATCTTCTCACTCTGTAAAGAATTCTGAAGTGAATGAGTACGTTTGGAACAGAGGGTCAGACGACTACCCTTACTTTCATTCTTGAATAAGGGAGATGCTTATTTACCCAGAACTGGAGTACTAAGAATAAAGTTAACTGAGAGACACCGAGAACAGAACTAAGCACTATTAAGAAGAACAGAGTACTGAGATGAGATTAAGAATATAACACAAAGAATACTAACAAAAGTACTCTTTTTTCCACTTTAGCTAGTGGAAAGATGCTGAGAACAGGGTACTAAGATTAGGTATACTTAAGAAAAAAATACTGAGAATAGGGTAGTGAAAAAAGGAAGAGCTCACCTTCTTTAAAGAACCGATTTCAGGTGGGTGACTAAGTCTCTTTGCCTGCTCCTCCAATGATGGATCAGCTCAATTTACTACCTGCCCTTCCAGCCCGTATCCCAGATCTTTGAAATTACAGCTTTGCTACCATGTCACGCCATTTTCATTGAGATTTACTCATCTCTACAAGGGTGCACCAAAACCGTTCAGCCTTTGCCTACGTTTGCATAAACTTTCTGAGGGCAAGCACTCGCTAACTTTCAGCCACAAGTCCAGCCCCGGAAACCTGGCCCCTTTGGGAGCTGGTGGGCAGGCGCTGGAGCTGCGGTTTGCGGCAGGAGTTGGGTCTCTCTCCACCTCCCACTCCCCCAGACCCCAGGCCATACCTCCAGTTTGACGTTTCCTGAGCTGCCAGACGCGGTGGCCCCACCGCAGTTCAGGGCCTGGTCGCTTTTCTTTTTCTTGTATTTGTCCTTGTACATCTTGTTGCGGTGCTTCTTGCACATCCACGGCTTGCGCTGCTTGGCCACCTGACTCGTGGTCTCGCTGCAGCCCTCGTACGTGCAGGTCTTGCTCAGGCCGCCGCCGCCGCCGCCACCGCTGCCCCGTCTCCGTGCTCCCCCGCCGCCGCCGCCCTCGCCCCCCGAGTGGGTCTCCTCGTCCTCCAGATCCTCCAAACTGGCTGTGCTCTCGCCTCCTCCTGGGGGGTCTGAGGTGTCCAGCAGGTCGGCCTCGTCCTCCCCCGCCTCCTCCTCGCCATCCCCGGCCACTTCGCACAGGTACCGAACGGGCTTGCCGGGTCCGCCGCTGCCCCCCAGGGCCGGAGCCTGCCGCAGGACTCCCTCGGCCGCGGCTTCGTCCTGCCCTCCACAGGGGTGCATCACCAGCAGCGCGAACTGCGAGGCCGCGGAGCCCGGGACCGGGGCAGGAGCCAGGGCCTGGCCCGGAGCAGGGGCGGGGGCTCCGGGGCGGAGCGCGCCGCTGGCGGCACCCGGCCCCGCGCCTTCGGTGACACCCTGCACCTCCGTGCTGCTGAGACTTAGGTGTTGGGGATCCACGACCCCGGCCTTTCAGCACCTGCCGGACACAACTGCACCTAGCAAACAAGCTTCCCCGGACCGCGAGAAATACCCGAGAGGGCTCCGCGACGGCGCCCCACTGCGCCTGCGCGTGTGCCGCCGGCGCGTGAGCGTCTCTACGCTCCGTGGCCTTTAGAGAACCCGGCGTCTCTGAGGGGTGGGGCTGAGCTGTCGCCCGAGGGGCTGACTGCGCATGTGCGGTTGGCAGTGGCGGGAGATTGTCGCGTCGCGCGCGGGGTCTCGCGTGTGAGGTCTCGCGTCTGGTGCAGCATGCACTTGAGGTTTTGAGGAGCTGGGCCCGGCGCCGCTTTTTGACTGGAACCAATTCTGCCTAAAATGTTTCAAAGCACTTTTGTACTGGAACTCCACAGTGTAAATTCACATTGTTCATGAGCCTTCTTGTGCGGCATCAGGACCCGCATTATAATTATTCACCCCACCCTGACAGGAATGGGAGCTGAGAGGCTGAGCTGTGGCCGTGTCGCGACCAGGCCCCACTAGATAGCAGTCAGTGAAGGCAGAGGCGGCCGATGTGAACATGGTACCACCGAGGAGGAGTGAACCAGACCCAGGACGGGATGTATTTCTTTGGAGAACTAAAGGGTTTACTCTTGAAGCCTTTTTCTTTCTTGGAAATTGGTTTATCGTACGTGGCCTTTGGGTTTCCCAGGCGGCTCAGTGGTAAAGAATCCGCCCGCCAATGCAGGAGACAAAGGAGACTTGGGTTGGGAAGATCCTCTGGAGGAGGAAATGGCAACCCACTCCAGTATTAATGCCTGGAAGATCCAGTGGACAGCGGAGCCTGATGGGCTACAGTCCAGGCAGGTCGCAAAGAGTCGTTGGTGGTTGAGGGCGCACAGCACGTGGCCTTTGCTTTGACCTCTAAGGTAAGTCTTCAGTACAGTTTTCACGAACTAAAGTGACATGAATGTGTGGATAGGGTTATCGAATGGCAAACGTTAAAAAAGACAATGATCTGTCATTCCTACCAGTTGTTATGCAATTGCTGGTCACTGAATCTGGACTCAGTCAAATCGCATCCGGTCGTGTCCTGAGCAAAACTGTCAGGTAGATGATGTGCTCTCTCCTTTTTTTTCTTCCTCCTTCTCTTGTCAGAGTTCCCATTCCAGCCATTAGAAAGGAAAGCGATGGTTACCCAACAAATGATAAATCTGTCCACAGGAAAGTGTTTGGATGTTGCTATGTGGGTGGGTCTTAACTACATTAAAAAAATTTTTTTAAACACTTTATTTCTAAAAAAATTATTAAACATCATCTGAGCCTTCAGCAAGTTAGTCTTTTCATGTGACTAGAGCCAGTTGATGGAAGCCTGATGGTGGAGTGTCTTGCCCCAGTGTTGATGGCTACTGGTTGATTCGTGTAGTAGTTGCTAAAACCAGCTACGTTTTAAGGAGAGGAAGAAGGTTTGGAATACACCAACCTGGGTGGCACTATCCTGTGTGACCAGGGCTAGTTATTTATCTCTGTGAGCTTCAGTTTTCTTGCTGGTAAAATGGGCAGTTGGTTGTGTGTTAGAGCCAGTGGATGGAAGCTCGCTGTTATACTTTATACTTTATATATTGTTACATTAAATTACATAAATACATTTAATATATTAAATTACATAAATTTACAAGTAATTTATGTTAAAAACAAAGATCTCAAAACTCATCTCTTAGTAATTGTTTTACTCGTAGCTACGCTGATAAGATGAATTATGTTGGTTGTATCTGTATGTGGAAGTACTGTTTATTGTGATACTGCCTATCTCTTAGCTCTGCGTTCAGAGATGTGTTGGTAGCTTGAAACCAGCCATTATGGAAGTATTAACACCATGGAAATCATCAAATGCTACAAAAAAGGGCTTGAATTTATTGTTGGTTGTCTCTAGACTTAAGAAAGTGATAGCAAAAATGTTAATGAAGATTAAAGTTAAAATGTTTCATGTCTGTGGCTGTCATATAGTCAATACCACCCACCCATAATTGAGGAAATATTCTTTCATTCTTTGACAACTGTCATGATTTATTTCAGCAAAGAAGCTGCTTACCTCAGTGAAGAACAAGTGAAGTTCTGGCATATATCTTCATTGTTTCACTTTTGTCCTGAAAGTAAATAAAAATATCAGCCAACATTCTTGTCAGAACTACACTCTTGGTCAATAACATGCACAGCTTCTTACCTGTATTAGCCAGATATCAAGCATTTATTTATTGTTTGAATTTGTGACACTGTTGTTGGTGAAATAATTTTAAAAACTGATAGTGTATTTTGCAAGAAATGGCAAGTCACACTGAAGTGTAAGTGTTTGGAGTTTACAATTAAAAGTCATGTATTGTATTATTGATTGTAAATTGTGTGCTAAGCATTCTTTATATCAGTTAACTGGTTTAAAAAAATACTAGCACATCACTGAGGGAAGTACTATTTAAATCCTGGTACAAATTCCTTTTATATAGTATTCAATAAATGATAGCAGCTTGGTTTTTTTTTAAGTTTTATTGAGACATAATTTACACACCATTAAAGAACGTTGTAAGTGAACAACTTAATGGTTTTTAGTGAACTTATAGAGTTGTTAAACCATCACCACACCCTAGTTTTAGAACATTTTCATCACCTATGTATATAAGATCCTCCTGTCCATGCTCAGTCAACCCTGCTCCTTCTCCCAGCCCCAGGAAGCCATTAATCTACTTCACATTGCTACAGATTTGCCTTTTGTGGGCATTTTATATAAATGTAATCATATAATACATGGTCTTTTGTACCTGGCTTCTTTCACTTAGCATAAATGTTTTTAAAATTCATCTACTTTGTTAATTGTATCAGTAGTTTGTTTCCTTTTATTGCAGAATATTATTTCATTGCTTTGTTTGTCTGTTTACCATTGGAGGACATTTGGATTCTTTCCAGCAATGTTCCATAATAGCAACAAGTTTTTTATCTAAGATTTAGCTTATAATGGGCTCTCAAACTATTTCCTGAATGAATATATTAACAAGTGAATGAGTCAAGGTGAAAGAAGGAACCTGGATGGACACAAGACTTTTGGGCTCTAGGCCTGGCTCTGTCCCCAAGTGTTAGGGCGACTGACCAGGTGGTGACGTGGGCGCTCTGGGCTCTGGGTCTCTGGGCTTTCGTTTCTCAGCTATAAAATGATCAAGTTGGTCTAAATGATCTGTAAGCTCTGTCCTGAGTTTAGATTATAATATACTGTAATGGCAGTGTTTAGGCCGACTCCTTGGGATCCTGATTCTATTGGTCTGGTGTGGGACTGGGCATGTATACTTTTAGAAAGCTCTCTAAGTAATTCTAGTAAGTAGTCAAGAGTGAGAACCACTGGTTTATCTGCTAAAGTTAAAATGTAATCTAGTAGATTTATGTATGCAAACAGATATCCTTGTTATGAGATTCATTAACACAGTATATTTGTCACCAACCAATAGGATTTTGCATATATAGTACTTATAAAATGGTAGAAACTCAGATTATAGTCAAAGTAAAATTTTAACAATACTTCTATTCATTTATCATCTTTGAAAAATTTACTACTAAAGACAAGGCATTGTATAAATTCTGAGGGGCTTTTTCATTTCCTCTATTAATTGCTTTACTGTTTCTCCATAACCATGTACCTTTTTTCATCTGTGTTTTTGAAAATAATGCTTATCTGTAATCAGGAGAGTTCCTTTAAATGGGAAACTGAGATGAAGAAGTGAAGGTTTTCTTTCACGGTGTTTGGTTTATATGGGCTTTTTAGCTGCCTGTTAAAGGGAACTCACACTGAGAGGGAATATGCTGCCTGTTAGGAAGATCTGCTGAGACACAGAAGAAGGTAGTGAACATGAGGATTTCCAGAGGGAAGTTGAGCCTATGAAGCTGGATTGGAGACATAGCTTGAACAAGTTAAACTGGGAACAGGGACCTTCTGCCTAAAAATAATTGATTGCATATAGAGGTAGACATGAACCAAAGGAAAGTTTGAAGTATTCAGAAGGCTCCCAGGAGACCTGAGTGTGAGAGGATGATATTGTATAGACTAAAGTGATTGAAGAACAATTACAGAAATATGCCAGGGAGCTGGGAACAAACAGCTCCAATGAAGGCTGGAGAGAGTGCAACATGTCATCATAGTTAGCAAATATTTAAATGAAGTTTCCCACTTTATATAAGTGATTTGAGGACCATGGCAATGACCAGAAGCATGCCCTGCAGTCTTTGGTGTTTGTCCTCTTGAAGTGTGTTTTGGCACCCCTCAGTCTCACTGCTGTGACAGGTGAGCCCATGAGCCACCTATTTCTCATGGGAATGACTCGTCATGTGGTGAGTCTGGGTCATCCCAGGAGCCTTGACAGACTGCGAGAGGCTCTTTGATGTCCAGCAACTCCATACCTGTGCCCTCAGCCCATCTTACTGGCTGACTTTGTCCTTTAAAGTGCTCAGAATGCAATACACAGAGAACAGTAGTCCATTTCTTCTGGAACAGAATCACCAGTGCTTCATGGACACTGCAGTGTGCTTAAATCAGTGCTTAAATACATTTCTAAAGCTATAGTCTACAACTTCTGAATATAGTTTTTCTTAAATTGTGGGACACTAGTTCTATTCCTAGCCAAAAAGGTTTGACCTGCTTCTCTACATAAGGTTATTTTAGGTTTGCTAGTCTGAGCCTGATTGACATTTACAGTCAGTGAAAATCTACTTATTCTATAGGTATTCCCTTCTGTGTGGCTAACTTCAGCTTCTGTCTCAGGAGGGCCATCTAGACCTGTTGTAATGTAGCCCCAGGGAACAGGACT